TTGATAAATAGCTTATGATACCAAAGGGACTTTATTTTACAAGGAACTAAATGTGTGTTATCCCTTCCCATTTGCTTGTGAAATCCAGAAATGATCTTATTTAATTAAACACAACTCGCTTTCAGTGTTATGCTGTTTGATTCTAAAAAATTTCTAAATGAGTTTCCATAGACTCACTCTTTTATAACTGTCTTCCTTCTTGCCCCTGTAAGATTAGTTAATATATGTATGTAACATTTTAGCTACTCTAGGCTAAAATGTATCTCTTAATATGCAAGATATTTTTTCTTTCACAATTCTTAACTATTCTTCAGTTTCCTCACACTTTAACATTGACTTTCTGAAAATTTTTTAAATCTACTATGATGTCTGAAATCTAGGTCATTATCATTTCAAGGATGATTTTGTTGCTGAATCCTTTAAGAGTGATGATATAATTCCTGATTAAATCACATGAAAATACATAGATGATCTAAGCCTCAAACCTACTATTTGCCAGCACTAATTCTAAAATCTCCAATCCCAAAATAAACTCCAATCACAAAATCTCCAATCCCAAAATAAACTCATTTTAATTATTCATTTTCACGTGAATTTATAAGAAAATGCAAAGCTAGAAATGCAAACGAAAAGTTCTTATTTCTTTATTTTTTAAAAAATATATATATTTTATTGATTTTTTACAGAGAGGAAGGAAGAGAGATAGAGAGCTAGAAACGTCGATGAGACAGAAACATCAACCAGCTGCCTCTTGCACACCCCCCACTGGGGATGTGCCTGCAACCAAGGTTCATGCCCTTGACCGGAATCGAACCCGGGACCCTTCAGTCCACAGACCGACACTCTACCACTGAGCCAAACCGGCTTCGGCTTTATTTCTTTCTTTAGTATCTTTGATATACACCAAGCATGTCAAACTCGCGGCTGGCGGGCCACATGCTTCATTTAGCCAGCCACAAGTTTGATGTGCTTGGAATACATCATACTTGCTTCTTTTGCTCATGTAAGCCCACTCCTTGATATAATTTCCCTGTCCACATCCTTCAAAACTTATTCAAATTTTACTTCCTATTTAAGGCTCTTTCTTATTACTCTGGTATACATTGTGTTTTTGTTGTTGTTGTTTTTTCCTCCTCAGCATGTCTAGTCCTAAAGTTAGTTAATTTAAAGAAGTTTGGCATATAATTATTCTCCTTTAATTGTTTCCATAAGTCTGTATGTGAAACTTATCTTTCCAGTCAGGCTAAAACTTTCTGAAGGCAAGGACAATCCATTGTTTTATACCATTGCTTTTCAAGCTATTTTTTCTTGCATAATCCCTAAAATTATTTTGAAAAATTACATTTTGAAAAACTCTTTACACAGTTTTAAGTTGAAGTGTTAAATATTATCGTAAGTATAAATAAGCACAAAGGATGTAATTAAAAGTATTGACATTGAAGATAAAAGGAAACAAAACAAAAACTATCACATGAGACTTTTAAATGTAACTAAAGAAATCTAAATGCTATTGTGATTGATACTTATAGTCATTCATTTGAAAAAAATACATAAAATCCTCTTTAACTGTTGGAAATTTTACATTATTCCCTTTTCTACTTGAAGTCATATTTTTATTCTTCCATATCCTTCCCAGAATTTTATCCTAAATAGAAAGTATTTTTATCCTTGAAAGGAAAATCAAGCGTAAAATCTTACCTAATAATAGACAAACATGTAAATTGACCTACTTCTACTATGCAACCAGCCAATCAGGAGTGATATACAAATCAACCCAACAAAGATGGCGGTTAATTTGCATATACAGGCACCAAGTGACTGGGGTGGAATGCTTGTGTTGTCTCCATGGCGATGACACAGGTATTCTGCCCCACCTCCGGTCTCTCAGGGCCTCTGGGCAGGTGGGAAGGCAAGGCTGGAGTGGAAAGAGGTGGCTCCGGGGCCTGAGCGGAAAGGGGCTGGGCCAGAGTGGAAAGGCAGTGCTGGCAGCCAGGGACAGGACAGCCCATTCTAGCACGAATCTTCATGCATTGGGCTTCTAGTATTTAATCCTATCTAATAAAAAGGAAATATGCAAATTAACCATCATTCCATCATAAAGACGGCAGCACCCATAGCCACAAGATGGTGGTGTCCAATCCTCTGAGCCTTGCCAGAGCCCCTAGTCTTGGAGGTTGGGGCGGCTGCTGTGAGCAGGCAGCATGAGCAGCCTGGCTGAATGCTTGCTTCATCACCGTGGCAACGAGGCAAGCATTCTACACCTGGCTGCAGATGGGCCTCTGAACAGCGGGTGTGGAGCGGCCAGGCCCTGCAGGGGGCTACTGGTGCATGGATTCGTGTGCAGGACTACTAGTTTTTATATAATAATCAAATATGGGTATAAATTGAAATTGTTTTTAAATTTTTTCTGATAAGGGGCTTTAAGTGGTGAAATATTTCTTCTGGATTGCTTTATCATTCCAATTATTTTTAGTACATAATCAGGCAAAATCAAAACCACATAAATGTATTATAAATACTTACCATGGCCAGTGTGGCTCGGTTGGTTGAGTGTTGTCCCATGCACAGAGAGGTTGCCAGTTCAAATCCTGGTCAGGGCAACTGCCTGGTTTGTGGGTTTGATCCCCAGTAGGGGGCGTGCAGGGGGTAGCCTATCGTGCAGGGGGTAGTCTCCCTCTCCCCCTCTAAAATCAATAAAAACATATTTAAAATGAAAAAACACATAAAGGATACAATTTTATTAGAAATTCATGTTTTTGTGAGATATATGGAACTTTTCATTTATGTATGAACATTACCTATTGCTAGAAATAATAGCATGAATTCCACTTCTGTTTTACATTTCTATATATGTAAATGTTGAGAAGACTTGTTCACACAAAATTGTTCTTAGGAATAGGAGGTATTTTATTATGTAATGTCATTTTATGAATACCTTCCAAATAATATGCCAAAAATTATATTTTGGTTTATTATGAAAACGTTTTTCATCTCTTGTCAACTCTTAACTTGAATAGGTCTTTCTTCATGTTGTTGAAAGCAAAAGATTAGAAATATCCTACTTAGAAAAAGACTAAACAGTTTAAACAGTCAGTAGGAATAATTTACTTTTTCAGTTTCTAAGAATAAAAAAAAATCTTTACTAACATTTATAAAGTGACTAACACAATATACTCAGAATGCATGGGAAATAGGGAAACACTCTATCAATATATCTGTCAATATATGGATTTTTTGAGAAAATGATTTTATTGTCATATGCTTTAAATATATTTTAACCAACTATTCAGAAGTGTGGGTTTGGTTCATTCAATTTTTGGAAATTACTTACCATAATTGGCAAAACCAGACTTTACTGTCAACCAACCAAATCATATATTTTAAAATAAAATATACTACTTTTTTATTCAAATAAACATGCAAACACACATCACTCTGGTTGCATTTACGCTCCTGGGCACTCTTCCTAAGGTAGAAAGCCAAGGCATGGAGCCTTGTCATTAGGTTGATGCATTGAGGAAATAAGGGCCCCTGCCTCCCAGGCTTTCTGCTTTCTCCTCATGGGACTCTTTCTCAGGAATGATGCACTCTTTGACAATAGTTGGGAGGTGTAAATCACAGCCATATTAAATGAAATTTGTCAACTGTCCTGCTTCTCCGTACTGTAATATATCTGAACACCAATCGTCCCGGAATGGACCAAAATCCCTGCTGCCTGTGCTATACTTTGACAGGAAAGACTCTGAGGCTCTACTTTGGATTTTTCCTGCCTTGATTAAAGGAGGTGATCCCATCTTCATCTTTTTTGCTGCTGTTTGGTGCCTTAAAGGTTCTTACGTTTGCACTTAAGGGAAGATATACCATAATAAGATGAGGCTAAGATTATGTCTGTCTTTATAAAGTGACATAAAATGATTGTGAAAGGGAAAGAGGAAAGAACTAGCCTGATGCTTCCACATAGCTGCATTCTCAGAATGATCAGTTTTTGGAAAGAATATACACAGAAGTTGTGCTCCTGGGTATTCATGCCTATAGAATGATGTAGGCCCACCTGGTCCTTGGGAAGTATTCAAGTATCCACAGTGATGTGCGTACACCAGTTTGAAAATAGCTTTCTTGTACTTTTTAATGTACCCAGTAGTATGCTGATAGAGAGTTAGTACTAATACTTGATTTACATATCAGTTAACATAGGGAGGAAGTGATAGTAAGACTGCAAATATGTTCAGTTTAGTACAAATATATAAGCAGAAATATCTTTATTTTCATTGGCATATTCTTTTATGTTTAAATTTTAAAATTCTTTGTTTAAAAGTTCTTTCTTATCAAATAATCTATACATTCTTGATAGTTTTGCTTAGAACATATGAAGTTCACACAGCAGTAATAAATTTCTTTTAAATATTACTTAGAGCCTGGCTGGTGTGGCTCAGTGGTTGAGCATTGGCCTATGAACCAGGAGGTTGCAGTTTGATTCCTAATCAGGGCATTTGCCCCTGTTCAGGTTTGGGCTCAAACCCTAGTGTGGGGCATGCAGGAGGCAGCCAATCAATGATTCTCTCTCATCATTGATGTTTCTCTCTCTCCCTCCCTCCCCCTTCCTCTATGAAATCAATAAAAATATGTTTTAAAAAGTATTACTTAGAATAATTATAATTATTCCTATTTTGCTAAAATTTCATTTGAATCATTTTCACATTTTTAAACTCTTTCTATATAATATTATGCTTTATATTAAAAAGATGTTTCACATAATCTGTAAAATAAAAATTGTTGATGAGGGAAGGGCTAGAATCGAAGTTGTATTCTTGAAATCTGTCTCAATTCATTATTATGAAGGACTATATGAAAGTGATTCATAGGTAACCATTGGTGGATCATATATATATTTTGTAGGCAAAATGGATCTTCAGAAGTGATTACTACTTTAAAAATCACGAGGTAATGCAAAAAACATTACAATTTTCTGCCAAAGTAAAATCTCTTGATATCGTTGACAGAGAACACGGCCAAGGCTGGATGGAAACAAGAGCAGTGGCAAGACAGCCAGCTGCCTGGGGATGCCGTGTTGTCCCAGGAGACGCTACCACTCAAGATCAATACGTGGAAATCATCAGAGGTAAGTTGCTGTGGTAGTTTCCTATTGCTGCTCTAAAAAACTACCACAAGCTTAATGCCTTAAGTCAACGCAAATGCATTCTCTTACAGTTGTGCAGTCTGGAAGGCTGGCATGCTCTCTGAGCTAAAGTCAAGTTGTCTGGCCGAAACCGGTTTGGCTCAGTGGATAGAGCGTCGGCCTGCGGACTGAAAGGTCCCGGGTTCGATTCTGGTCAAGGGCATGTACCTTGGTTGCGGGCACATCCCCAGTAGGGGGTGTGCAAGAGGCAGCTGATCGATGATTCTCTCTCATCGATGTTCCTAACTCTCTATCCCTCTCCCTTCCTCTCTGTAAAAAAATCAATAAAAAATATATTTTAAAAAAAATATTACCTTATAAAAAATAAAATAAAATAAAATAAAAATAAAGTTAAGGTGTCTGCAGAGCTGTGTTCCTTTCTGCAGGCTCTAGGAGGAGGGGGTTTTCTTGCCTTTTTCAGCTTATGTTCTAAGAGAAGCTGCTTGTCTTTAAACTTTTTGTTACACAGAGTTTTGAATAAGAATAAGTTTAAATGATCAGCTTCCCTTTATAGCTTGTGCATTTAAAAATCTTTTTTATCCTACTATAATAAAGATCTTGTACTTTTTTTTCTAAATGTTGAAATCCTTATGCCCTCTAGAATTTTACTGTGTCGTGTGAGATAGGATCTTATGTTATTTGAATCTCTGTGGGAAAACAGTATTTAATTCTTTGAACAGTTTATCATTCTCTACTCAGTTTTAAAAAACATTTTGTTATAAAATGATTATATTATAGAAAGTTGCAGAAATAGTATGGAGTTCCATGTATCCTTCCCCCACCTACTCCAGCATCGACATCTTACATAGCTGAAGCACAATATCAAAACTAGGAAATGAACATTGGCATGTTACAGCTAAATGGACTACAATTTTCAATTCAGTGTTCAGTTTTTTAACCCCCATTTGTGTGTGTATGTGTGTGCATTCTACGTATAATAATTTTATTCTAAGTATAGATTTGTATAACCAGCACCAAAATGAAGATACAGACTGTTCTATCCCCACAAAAGAAGTTCCTCATGCCCTTATGCTACAATCTCACCCCCCCAACCCCCCCTGGCAAGCACTGATCTTTTCTCCATCTATAGTTTTGTTAGTTGTAGAATGCTATGTAAATGTAACCTTTTGAGACAGATTTTTTTCACTCGTCATAATGCTCTTGAGATCCATTCAGGTTGTCGCATGTTTCAATAATTCATTCCTTTTTATTGCTTATTTTTGAAAGCACCCCATTTTATAGATATATCAGAGTCTATTCAACTGTTCACCCAATGAGAGGTGTTTGGGTGCTTCCAGTTAGACGCTGCTGAGGAATAAAGCTGCAGTGAACATGTATGGATAGTTTTTGTATGTGAGGTTTTCAGATCTCTGGGATAAATATCCAAGGGTATGATCGCTGGTTTTGTAAGAAACTGTCAAACTGTTTTCCAGAGGGGCTGTTTTCTTTTTTTCTTCTTCTAAAGTCCCTCAGTCTGACCTTCAGTTTATTAATTTGTTCTCAGCTATATCCATTCTGCTATTTATCCCATCTGTGTTCTCTATTTCAGTATTCTATTTTTACATTTTATATTTAAATATTTCTATTTAATTTGTGGTTGGTTTTTTTTTTTTCAATTCTCACTCAATGATATGCTTTTTATAGATTTTTAAAGAAAGAGGAAAGGGGAGAGAGAAACATAGACGTGAGAAACATACATCAATTGGCCCCCTTGCACCACTATGCACCCCAACCAGGAATCAAACCTGAAGATAGGATATGTGCACTGACCAGGAATCAAACTTGCCACCTTTTGTTGTACAGGACAATGCTCCAACCAACAGAGCCACACCAGCCAGAGCCAATGGCTCAAGTTTTTAATCTTTCTTCTTTCTGAGAGTTCTTACAGTCCTTTCCTGCCTGACAGTTTTTCATTTGCTTCCTTCTGACACTTAGGGTCACAGATCCACACTCAGGACTTCCACTGGCAGCTGGGGGCTCCTTCCTTGTGCTCATATCAGAGATGTTCCAGATCTGGTTCTCAGACCGGTGGGTGCTGAGGATCAGTTGTTGGTGAAGTTCAGTTTGTGTGCTCTCACCTACCTGAGTATAATACTATAAGAGGCTGTCTCTCCAGGCGGAGAGTAATGCCTGGTTATTTCAGCTTCTTCATTGAGTAGGAGATCCCAGTGCCCGGGCATAGTTTCCAGCAGTGAGCGCCTACTCAGCACTCCTGTCTTACATGGACACTTTAAATCTGTACTTCTCCCCTCAGAGTGGAGCTCCTGGTTTTCTCTGCCCTTTTCTGGATCCAAAGCCCTAAAGGTCCACAGCTTCCACCTCCTTACCATTTATGTGTTTCTGTGAACATGAAGATGTTCATCTTGTGTTTGACCATCACTATGTCCTTAATTTTCACATTTGCATTTTCCCTTTCATTGCTGTGTGTTTGAGGGAGGAAGGTATCCCCAAAGTATGAACCAAACGTATAGACCATCTGGAGTTCCACTCAAGACTATATGAAGTTATCTTATTCACTCACTCGTTTTTCTGTTTGGTATGTGTTTCTCTTACCAGAAGGAAAGCTTCTTGAGACTAAAGACCTTTTTAAGTTTTATTCATTACTGAATCATTAATTGCTACATTTTTTTTAAAATGAAATCAATGAATGGTAGACTTTCAGTGGTAACTTCCTTCTCTTCCTTTCCTGGGAAAGAGGCTTGTTTGGTCTCCTGCTTTGTTTAGTATTCGCTGCCACAGCTCCTGCGAGGGAGATTGGAATTATTTCTTGACCTTCTGTTTCCAATTCCTTTCCCCGACCCAATTAGGCACTGGATTTATGGCAGCTCTGAGAAGTACATAACATTAAAATTTCACTATTCCTTAATTGCATAATAGCCCGTAGATTGAAAATGTCTAGATTATCTTAAAAGATATGACATTAAATCAAAATGATTTTTAAATTCGAAATCAATTTATCTGTTGCTGATGGCTTTTAAGGGAGAAAATCGACTGGAATAATCTTACATGCATCAGAGCCAAACAGAGATCTAAAGTGCTACTTAGTCTTTTTTTGTATCGGTCATTAACTTCTCATTATTATTTGTTTTTCTTACTTTAGAGGGAAGTACAATAATTGATTTACATCATTCCACATCTTATATCAATGAGTAAAAATACGGTTTCTTTTCCTCAAAGGAAGTTTAAAGCTGGAGCTGTATTTCCCTTTTTTAAAACATTACTACTGACAAGCAACTCCTTATGTCTGTCAGGAACATTTGATGCCGTCCTATATTGCCCTCTTCGGAAACCTGCTCTTGAAGCAGAAGACAAGAGCTATCGTGCTAAACAGTAAACCCAATTGTTGTTGCCAAACGTACTGCGTCTACATTAAAACCCTCATGTTCTTAGTAGAGAACGAGGAAGAAATGATATTGTTGGTTGCTTAGGCACAATGAGGAGTGCTTAAAAATATCTTTTAAAAACTTTTAATAGAAACCTCTTTAACTATTTTCTTTCTATAAATGAAAGAATTATCTAACAACAATAATAGAACATGGCTTTCAAAGGCAGAGCAGTGCTGGCCTGTGTAAAGGAAAGCCTTTACGTGTGTGACAGTGAGACAAAGTGTGCTTTCTCTTTGCATACTGTCCAGAATTTTTCTTATTAAGTCTGCTAATTAATAAGGCCATTTGTAGCTTTTTATCACCTCAAAAAACCTTCCTCTTTTCCTGTTGGAGGAGATTCAACAATGAGGCTATGACTTTTTCAGTCACAGTTGTTCCCATAGCAACAGATAGCGATGCTATGAATTGACTCACACAAAATTAAAGGTGACCAAAGCTTTCAGTCTCCTTATGAGTTACTAAATTGCTAGTGATAGAAGATAAATATTTATTCCCTACTGCCTTCATTTATTATTTTGCTAAATTAAGAATAAACAGTTCTTATCTTTGGGTTGATTAGCATGTCACTTATTATATTTGTAAAAATTTGAACTCATCAAAGCTGTTAGAAAAATGGAAATTATGCTTATTTTAGTTATGTTAATTTATTATCCCTTTACTTACTGCATCATTGCTTTAGGGTTGAATCCTGTTTTATTTTTATGTTTGTGCTTTTATTCTTTTAAAATTAGACAATACTTATTGAAAAATTAAACAATATTGAAGGGTAAAAAGTAAAAAACAGTTTCTTCTTATTTCTCTCTATTCCTTCTCTTTCTTTTCTAAGAGACAACTATACTAGCAGGGTTGTTGTTTTTTTAATGAATTTTGGGAAGAAATTTTCTGTGTCCCTACATTTCTTTTACCTGAATGTATTTATTCATTGTATAGTGCTCTGTAACATGCTTTGAACTAAGCAATATATCTTGCACAACTTCCTATAGTAATAAATGCAATCGTTCAATGCATATTGTTTTAAAATATGCTTTTATCACTAACCTACATGTTGTGGACATATTTTTATATCAGTGCATATTAACTTTGCTGTATTCTTGATATATAAATTAATCTTAATTTATTTAACCAATCCCTGTTGGTAATCATATAGGGATTTTTTTATTTTGGTGGAGGGCTAGACTCAAGTCAATGAAACATAGTAGAGAACTAAAAGTAGACCCACACAAATATGGCCAACTGATTTTTGACAAAAGAAATTTAAAGATAATATTTTCAATAAATTATATTCAAGCAGTTGGACATTTTTGGGGGCAAAACTATGAATTTGAAATTAAACAAAAATTCACTCCAAATGGATCACAGACTTAAATGTAAAAGTATAATACTTAAGAAAATATATTGGAGAAAACCCTTTTGGATGTAGGGCTGGCCAAAAACATAATCCCTAAAAGAAAAAAACATGATGTAAGACATCACAATTTAAAACTTTTGCTGTACAAATAAGATCATCAACGCACTTAACAGCATAAGCAGGGATAATTTGTGACAATAAAAACATGA